CTATATATTTCCTTTCCTCTTTAGTTCTCTTTAGTATTATGTATTGATTATCATGTCTAGTCTTTTTTTCTTGAATATGGCTGGAGATGTACATTTCTCAGCATTCTTGGAAGAAAAACAATGGGTCTTGGTTGATTAATCTTTGAAAATTTAAGACATGTAGTCTTGACTATGGATATTTGTCCTTTTTTATAAGCCACCTTTTTTCATCAGGTCTAGGCAGAGACTTCAATTAAATTTATTTAAAAATTAGAACGTGCAAACAAGTCCCAAATAAATTATTATATAGAATTAGAAATTAAAAAAAAAAAAAAATTTTTATTTAAATATGAGGTTACCCGATAGATCTTGATCAATCAGACATTAACTTTGAGAATAATTACATCAGATGTCACGTGTGCGATGGCCTATTGATTCTTTGACTTTTCTTGATATGTGGTTGATTATCTTGTATCGAGTCTATCCATGTCAACTTGTTCATGATTTGCGTTTCAAGTGCTATTTATCATCTAAACAATAAACTCATTCACAATAATCAAATGTAGTTTGATTAAAGTGGATATGCACATTTCTTGAAAAGAAAAACTTGGGTCTATCAAAGTAAGGTGGACACCAAGCACTGGTGCTTATGTTCTGTGTTAGATTAATGCATCTTAAACCTGAAATTTGTTCGATATTAATCAATGAACACAGAAGTGATAGCTGGTCCACTTCGATTGATCGTTCATGAACGTGAACTCGGATCAAAAGTTGGAAATAATTTCTCACTTTAAAAAGATATGCTAATCACCAATCCAATCATATAAAGTTGACGTATTAATCTTAACCACTTCTTCAAGCAGCTTCCTCAAAACTTCTGCTACCTTACAACATAGTAAAAACTAAAAATGAACTCCAAGTAATTATGATATTGTACAGCTTCTTTAATGAATAATGATGTATCCCACAGTAATTACTGCTAATTAGAATTTACAGTGAACTTGACCTACGTAGAGATGTGCAGAGATGTGTGATGAATAGGATAGGATGGGGTTTCTCATTAAGCATTGCGTCTATGCTGTTGTAAAGCAAAGCACAATCATACAATCTTGAAATTAAAAAGTCTGTGCGTCTCTGTTCCATCCAACCGTGCAAAATTGTAATATAAAACAAACACACCAGAACGAAGATAGAAACAGAGGCAAATATGGAGTAAAGAACTACGTAGAGAGACTGAACAACATCAAGCAATAGAAAGGGGAGGCTAAGAGGTCATTTCTTGGTTGGATAAGGCAAAGTTCAAACTTCTTCCTCCAAAACAACCGCCTCACCTCGCCCCAATAGTGGTTCCTCAGCCGTTGCAAATCGCCTCT